TATAACATCACTCTTTCCCCAAACGTCCTCAGGTTAACCAGAACCTATAACCTATCCTTTACTTCACTTTTTCCTGATTCTTAAACTTGAAATTCCAAAACCATTGAGTATTGTGAGTCCCAGATTTGCTAGATTTAGGGTTCAGTGTGAACTTTGAGGACTCACTCAGGAAGCACAAGTGTTCTTATAGACCTGTAACTCCTTGGTGGTAGTTGAAATAATTAATGGCATTGCATTTTAGTTGGACCAATCCTTCACAGGACAGAGTTTACAGCGGGACATTTTTTTAAGTATTCACACTTACCCCTTTCCCCACTGGTGCTGGTGGTCTATAGTCTAGCCACTACACAAAATTCAATAAAAGTCTCATATAAGATATGGAAGCGCCATCTTGAGAAAGTATGACAGCTCATCATTGTTCAGCTCAACCATGAGAATCTGGAGCACCTTCAGATGTTCTGGCAGCCTGACTAATGACAGATCTATTGGGTGTTATTTTTAGAAGGTTCAGTTTCACCATAAGTCATATGGCAGGACATCATGACCTGAGGACTGATATACTATTGTAAGAAACATATTTTAGATATTTGGTAACTTAGCTCTCTCTTACAAGTCATCCTAAATACCACAAACATTTCAACCACTCTTTCCCAACTATGATTACTACCTCAGATGTGCCAGCATCATCAGGCACAAGATGCCTTCATAGCCAGGTCAAGTTGTATATCCTCTAGGCTGACATTGCTATCATATGTGTAGGTCAGAATTGACTTCTTTGGGTTCCTGTGCTTCTGTTTACACAGCTTGGAGGGCAGGACTCCATCTTTGCCAAAATAACCCAGAGTTGAACAGCTCAAATTCCTTGTGTTAGTCCAAAAAACAACATTCTGGTCTTGGAAAAGACCTCTCTGAGGTACATAAAACTCATGCCACAAACTGTCTTTGTTCAATATGTTTCTTCTTTTTGAATGTTGCTCCTTTTCTAGAACCCTTTATATATGGAATATTCCATGCTATAGTCTTCCAAATTATAAACTTCCATGCTAGTGGGGGCTTCTTGGCAAAATTCTTGGTTTCACCTATAAAATCAGAATTGGGAAAAAATTCAGATAAACCTGCTGGGAACACCTCCTTTCACATAACCTACCCTGATGTTGAGGGTGGAATTTAAATATTGCCATATTGAACTAGTAAAAATGATGAGAGTTTGGCATAACCTGGGTGTTCGAATTTCTCACAGCAGCCTCTCATAGAACCACTAACTTCCTTTCCCTACCTCTTGTGGCCTGAACTTGGCCTGAACTTCATCATACCCATGACCCAGCAATACTTGTCCAGGGACTGAAATCTGCTCATATGCTTTGTTCTGGACTCTTCTTCCCTTTCCCTTGCTTTCATGCATCTGGGTATTTCAGGTTAGGCCTTTTATACTATTTCTTTCACAATATCATTCACTCCCATAGCTTTAATTGCCACCTCTATGCAGAAGAATCAATCCATAAGCCTGTATTAAGTAGATACTATGTGCCAAGCAGTGTGAGAGGCACTGGAAATAAAAATTAAAGATTAAAATGAAATTATCCTTTCTTTCCATCAAGGAGTTTACCTTCTATAGGAGAAGACAAAATATACAACATGTGTTTATTAAGCACCTGTTATTTATTAAGCATTTATTAAGCTGTATCTCTAGTTCTGCACTCTTCTGACTTTGGAACCACACCTCTAACCTCCTATAGAACACTTTTTGGAGAAAACAGGTAGGGAAATATGGCCTAAAATTCTACTGAGGTCAGCACAGGATAGATGAGAAACATTCAAGAATGAAATTCAGCTAACATAAAGAGAAGAAATTCTGATAAGAAAACAGGGAGCTACCCAAAAATCCTAACGTGAATGCAGAGAACTCATCAACCAACCTAGATTAAAAAAATGAGAGAAAGATAGAAGATGAAAGTAAGATCAAGCAATGTATATACACAAATGAGGTAGGTCCTATAATATTAGAAATGCTAAATGTGAGAATAAGCTGAAGTTCTCTAAGAATTTGAAGGATGATGAAATGATTTTTAAAGTTTTGTTGGGGGAAATAAGAAGATTCAAAGGGGTATAGAATTATTACTTGGAGTAGATAGTCTAATTATGATTAGCAATAGGAAGAAAGACTAACTACTCAGGCTTTGTTTTTCCTCTATTTTAATACCTAGGAGAATTATCTTTGGATTGGGGAAAACTGAAAAGAATTTGATAATGGAGGGTTGAAACATCAGATAAATAAATAGGGAGGGTGATAGTAAGAAAGCATGTAGCTGCTCTTAATGAGTTCCTATCACAAATTCAGATAAACTACATCCTGGGGAACTGGAGGAAATGGTAGTTGCAATTGCTGACCTACTGTTAAGGACCTCTAACAGATCCGTGAACATGGGAGTTCTACAAGACTGAAGGGTGGCAAATGTACTGATTTTTAAAAAGGGGAAAGAAAGTGAAATCTTAAAACTATTGACCAGTGATCTAGACTTTGATTCTTGGCAGAATTGTAGACCATGTCTGATTCTTATTAGGGGAGCCACCTCTCTCTGTGGTCTAAAAAAGTAAGTGGATAGATCAGTTTGGCTTTTCTTTTCTTTCTTTTTTTTCTTTGTTGGGCAAAGGGGGTTAAGTGACTTGCCCAGGGTCACACAGCTAGTAAGTGTTATGTGTCTGAGGCTGGATCTGAACTCAGGTCCTCCTGAATCCAGGGCCAGTGCTCTATCCACTGCACCACCTAGCTGCCCCCCCGCCCCCCCGTTTGGCTTTTCTTAGACTTCCTTTTCACATTCTTTTCTTTAGATGACAAACCAGAATCCGGCAGAGTACTAGACTAATGCAATGACGTGATTAGAACGGTGCATTTGGAAGATTAATCTGCATCACATACATTGTAGGAGGGAGAAACAAAAGGTTTTCACAGCATAGGACCACAGAGAATTTGAAGGGACCTTAGAGTCACCTAAGCCAATTTCTTTCTTTTAAAGATGAGGCAATTGAGAGGTTTAACTGACTGGTTGAGAGTCACACGGTTAATAATGGAGAAGGATTTGAGCCTAGGTCCTCTGAGTCTAAATACAGCACTCTTTTCACAAAACCTTCCATGATGATGAGGATGTAAATGAGAGGGTATATGATATTTTTGTACTATAATGTACCTTTTCTGACTGCATAGAGTACTTTCACATGATACCTATGGATGGATAATAATTCCCATGACAAAAAAGTTTGTCATTGGAATGTATCTGCTTTGTTATTAAAGCTGTTACTCTATTTAGTTTAATCAGGTTTCTTCTCCAATTTACTTTTCAGGCAATTGCTGTGGTCTTTGTCCATGGCATTTCTCTCTCACAAGAAATATGTATTTTGTAAGTATAGTTATAGTATGTGTATGTGAGAGTGGTTTGCGTAGTATGTACACATACATACCCTGTAGTATGTGTGTATATATATATGCATATATATACACACACACACATATGTGTATTATATATATATACACATGCATGAATACACACATGTATATTATATATGTATATACATATATACACACACACTGCTAATCAGGTCATCTCATGTGCAGTAAGGCTATGTGTGTATATACACATATATGTACACATTACATAAAAACATACATATTTAAAGAAACTGCCATTGTTTAGTCAAACAGGAGTCTAACAAGAGGATAATAGCAACAAGGGGGTAATTCATCTATTGCCCACCTATCTCCTTCCTTCCTGTTCATATGAGATATTCAGATTAGCAGACAGTGTCATGAATACCCCACAGGCATTAAAAATTAAATTAAAACAAACAAACAAAAACAAAAATATAGACAGTGCTACAGGTTTAGGCAAGTGGGATAGTAACAAATTCATGAAATGGGCAAAATGTAAGCCGTTTCTGTATCTAGATTTTTTATGATGATTAAGAAAATATATTATCTTTTTGAAAGATATCAAACCATATAAACACCTGATATGACCATAAAGGGATTTTCCTGATGGTTCTCAAAAATAAAATTCCAGTTCACAAATATATAGGGAGCTCTTAAAAGTCTTGGTGTAGTCTTAAGCTATCAAAGTTTAAAGGACACCCTGCATTGTGAGGTTTACAAATTCCTTTATTAGACTATATTATTTATTATTATATGTCATATATTATCTCATTTAATCAATTGGAATATGGCTTCTGAAAGCATCCATCAATAGCATCCCTGAATCCAGACAGTTTTGCCCAGGAAAGATTTGGAGTAGTCTGTCTTTCTCAATCAATCAATCTATCTATCTATAACATTTTGTTAAACAGCTGCTATGTGGACTAGCACTGAGGATACTGAAATAAGAATGAATCAGTCTTTGCTATCAAGAAACTCCCATGCTCTTTGGGGCAATACCATGTACATGTAGAATATCCATAAAATCCATGCATAATAAATTAATTTCAAGGGGCCCCTTAAAGAAAAGAGGGAGAACTAAGATCATTAACAAATGAAACCAGTCCCTAAATACAGTGGCCCCCTCATTTAGCCAGCATTTCTTATATCTAGGAGCTTTAGTCATCCAAAACAAAACTCAAAACCTAGAGATAGGGAAAAAAAAGGCATGTGAAAGGTTAAAATAGTTACAACAAAGGTCGGGAATTAAAGTTCATGCATTTTACTCATGGGAAACAGTCCTATTAACCCTTATTTACTCAGGAACTATTCTTCCTTAATTAAGAAACATTTCAAACTAGCTTGGTAATCTGGGTCCCTCACATATATAATTTTAGAATTATAATACTTCATATTTATATAGAGTTTTGCCATTTACAAAATACTTTCTTCACAGTAGCTTTGAGGGGTAAGTACCGCAACTTTGTTTGTCACCATTTAACTGGTGAAAAACCTGAGATTCATGGATATTTATAGAAGAATGAGATAGAAGAAAGGGACCTTAGTGACCATCTTGTCCATCTCCTTTATTTTATAGATGACAGAACTGAGAGTCAGAGGAGACACACCACTTGCCTAAAGTCACATAGTAAGTAATAGCATTCATGCTCTAGGCCAGGTCTTTTGATGTTGTCTCACACTTTTTTGACTCAGTAATGCTGAGTCCAATATTAATATTTTGGCCTTCAGCATATTTCTTTAAACTGTTTTGTTATTGATTTCACATCTATTAATACTACATCTTTACAACAAGGGAAACTAAATGTTAAGTAGCTTGCCTGGGCCTACATAGCTTTTTCTTTCTTTCTTTGTTATTCCAGAATTTAGTGCAATGCCTGGTACATAGCAGCTTAATAAATAGTTGACTAACCCAGTGAGTGAGTGTGGTAGAGTAAGTACTAGATAATACATGTCCTGGCTACCAGACTAAAATGTTACTAAAAATTAACTGAGCTCTCCAGGTAGGCTTTTATCTTGAAGATTTGTGTGGGATGTCCTGCCTGGCTGTCATACTCCAGCGTGGCTATGTGTCTTCATGAGACAAAAATTTGAGTGTATTTCTAAATCTGAATTTTCTTTCTGTGATAGCTTTTCATGCAGTTAGGGATAGTGCTGGACAAAAGGGAGTGTATGCAAGTGACTCGCCAAGAGCTTAAACAGAAATTTCATCTTGTTTCTTTTTCTGAAAAAAAAACAAACAAACCGCAAAATGGTGTAAGACAACAGCAATAAGAATTCCAAAGCTAGCTGAGAAAAATGTCTGATAAGAAAGCTTTCTACTAGCTCGTGTTTGTTTCATTCTAACAAGCATTTGCTAAGCCCCTGCTATGTCCAAAACACTTAGGCAGGCACTGGGAATAGATACAAAGATCAAAAAGAAATAAATAAACATGCCAGCCCCTGACCTCAAGGAGCTTATATTTTATTTAGGAGCAACATGTAAAGAAATAAACGTACATGTCATAATTTCAGAAGGAAGAGAGCATTAATAATTAGGGAGAATTAGGCACATAAGAAGTGATAATTGAAGGGTTTCTAAGATGTGGTGGTGAAAAAAGCCTACCTACCAGGGATGGAGGAGAACCTGTGCAAAGACACAGAGCAGGGTGATGCCTAGGGGACAGTAAGTAGGCCAGTTTGGCTAGAACATACAACATGCAAACTATAGTATTATGAGAGAAAATTGGAAAGACCATGATGGACTTTAAATGCCAATCTGAGGAGTTACTATTTTATCCCAAAGGAAATAAGGACCCAGTAAAACTTCTTGGGCAAGGAGGTGACATGACTGGACTTGTGTTTCAGGAACATTATTTTGGCAGTCGTATGAAGGATAGATTGGAAAAGGAAGAGGCATTATTAACAGAGGTATTACTTCATTGATATTAATCAAGTTTCTTCTTATTTTAATTAGTTATTGTATGTAAATATAGCCCTTATGATTTGGAAAATATGAATCTGGTTGATTTTTACTAACCATTATTTCATCGTGTAGTTGTAGGCCAGGATTTATGGCCAGCCTGCCTAGCATTGAGGCCCTGAGAAATGTAGCTGAGATGTAAACTCATCTAGTAGCTATGTTGCATGTGAATGTGAACTTGATGGGACTAATGCCAACTAAAAACCGTGTTAAGCCCAAATCCCCTTTTCCTAGGGACTGAAATGGTATAGCAGAATGTGCTTCTAGGTGTTAACGGGTGGGAGGGATTCTTTTGTATTTCTGTTTTTGGTATATTTTCACAGTAAATATATATATATATATATATATATATATATATATTTTTTTTTTGGTAAGAGCTAATTAATATCAATTGGTTAACTGGCAAATAATCACTGGAAACCAAAAGTCGGGGGTAGCACACTGGAATGTAGGCTTGAGACAATGGCATTAGAGAAAAAAAATTCCCCAGCCTCTTATGGTTACTTCTAGAATTTGGAGGGGGAGGAATGCAGGCTATTTCTGCATAGTAGAGTGAGTTCAGAACACTACACCCAACTTATCTCACCATAACCTGACTCTGGTCATAACCCTGGGCTCTGATAGAGTTCTCCTTATCTTGCCCAATACCAGGTCTCCATGTTATTTCCTAGCCATTTGCAAACCATGCTGCATGTAGACCATCCCCCACCCCCTTTTTAGGTCCCCTTAATGTGTTGTAAAACTATATTAAAATGTAAACTTCTTGAGGATAAAAACTGTCTTGCTTGCTTGTACTTATATCTCCAGTACTTAGCAGTGTCTAACAGTAAGAACTTAATAGATTTTCTTTTTGCTTTAAATACAAATTTATTTATTTTTAGTTTTCAACATTTACTTCCACAAGATTTTGACTTCCAAATTTTCACCCCATCTCACCCCTCCCTCCACCTCAAGATTTCATGCATTCTGAATACCCCTTCCCCTAGTCTGCCTTCTCTTTTATCTCTCCCCCTCTTCTCTTATCCCCTTCCCCTTCTATTTTCCTGTAGGGCAGGATAAAGAGCTTAATAGATTTTCATTCATTCATATGGACTTGTGGATCTCTTTAATTAAAACTTCACTCTGATCTTCCTTCCTTCTTGCTGGATTTTAGAGTTCTAGGCCTTCTATAACAGCATTGGTTTTCTGCAGATGGAGATTGTACCACTATGATTTGGATATTGTATGCGGTATTGACTTGAATTTAGCATAGAATCTACAGGCAAATAGACTGTCTAAAAAGAAGGAAATATGCCTAATAAGACATCTCCCAAGCAGCTGTGAGCCCATTCAATTCACAAACGCTGGAAGTTTCATTGATGATCAAAAAGCTACTTTGACCTAGATGTTCTAGAAATCTTTTTTTTCCTCAATGTTGTCCCCTTCTAGCAGACAAAGGAGTTTCCATTTAATATTCCGTAAATTGGATGAAGAAGCATAAGGCCTGGAGGAACACTGACTCTGGGACTTATGGCTTTAGGAGTGCACTTAGGAAACAAGCAGACCATGGAGAAGACTGAAGCTTCTATGTCAGGTGATGCTCTCCATCCTAGCTGTCTTATCCTGGCATCAGCCTCTGTTCTCATCTGTCCGTAGAAAGCCCATCATGGAATGGGGTGATTTTAGACTTGGCAACTATCCCTCAGCAGTGAGCCACACCACTATTGACATCGTTGAACATGGCCTTCTTTTTCAGCCTTTACCTGATGCTCAGATTTGCTTTACTGCTTCTGGGTCTCATTTCTTCCAGCAGATACTACCCATCCAAAATGCTAGTTTCTCAGCAAGATGGAGGGGGTTGACAGAGTGGGGGAAGAGTGGCCTCTGCTTTATTTCAAAAAAGTAATGGGTTATTATTTAGTGAAGTAGGTGTTATCAAGTAGCAGAAAGGACCTGAGAGACTTGAATGGTTTCACTAAGGTCTAATAGCTAATAAGTAACAGAGGTAGCAGGGCAGCTAGGTGGTTCCATGATCTGGCCTCAGACACTTACTAACTGTGTGACTCTGGGAAAGTCATATAACCCTGTTTGCCTCACTTTCCTCATCTGTAAAATGAGCTGGAAAAAGAAATGGCAAACCACTCCGCTATCTCTGCCAAGAAAACCCCAAATTGGGGTCATGAAGAGTTAGACACAACTGAAAATGACTGAACAACAAGAACAAAGGTAGCACTGGAACCCAGATCTTCTGATTACAAATCTAGCATACTTTCTATTATACCACAACATTTTTTTGTTAACAGTCAACCAATCAAACAAACAAACCAATTAGGAGGAAATTAAAGCTTTTTCCCATTAACTGTAGTAAGAAGGGACAGCTGAAAGTCTTGATGGAAATAGAACAAACATAAAAAGCAGACACAAGAACTCAAAAAAGGAGACATTTAATTATAGGAGCAAATAGCCTGACATACTTTAATACCAGAGAGTACCAGTGCTTTACTGCAAAGGACTGGTAATTGATATTCATGAATGACCCCTTGTGTTGTGGTGCCCAGCACACTAGCCTAGGTCATCAGGTTTGAATTGTTTTTGCTGTGTTACTAAGGAGCCATGTGATGTTGAGAAAGTCATTTCATCTTTCTTGGCTTCAGTTATAAAATGAGGTAAGCAGATAAGATAATCTCTAAGGTTCCTTATGATTGTGAAAATCTGTAATTCTATCAATGTCGGATGGTCATCATCTTCATTTGGATTTCTATCAGTTAAAAACTTTTCCATGACCCTTTCTCTGCTAGTTCCTCCCTTTTTGTTTGTTTTGTTTTTGATATTTTCTATTCTACGTCACATCTGAAATAAGCTTCCTACATATTGTTTTCATTGTGTGCTTTCGTCCTATTTTCTAAAAAGTGATATCTCAAAGAACATCACAAGCCGAGAGAGATAACCTTTGCCTATGTGGTGACTAATTAATTAAGGATATGCAAGTTGTGGTGGCCAAGTTTTCCTGGTTGTGCCCCCAGGATGTTTTAACATATCTACATATTTATACACACATGTGTATGCATGTATATATGTATTTGTACGTGTGTACATATTAAAAGGAGTTATTGTTATAAGTATTTTATATTTGTATTTTTATATATGTATTATATATATAGTTTAAATATCATATATAATTAAATAATATTTTATCATATTTGTTTTGTACATATGCACACACATATATATTTAGATAGGATAGATTCCAAAGGGATTGTTGTTATAAATGTTTTTGGAGGAAAATTCAAATTTGATGCCTCTTAAAAAGGCAATTGCTTGAAAGCTACATTTGGATACTAACAGGATCTAATTCTAGGACCACTGAATTTAGGGATCCTAGAGATCATGAAATAATCATCTATTTCTAGGGTTGGAAGGGCAATCAGTCTAGTTTTGAGGCCCAAAGAGGTGAAATCCCATATAAAAGACAGAAAAGAAGTGGTGTACAGGCAGAATATGAACTCAGGTGTCCTGATCTCCAGGGCAATAACTTTTCCAAGGCACTGTGCTTCTTCCCTATTAATACAGTCCACAGGATTGCTACAAACCTCCCATCCCTTGGAAGCGGTTACCAAGAACATTGTTTTTCTCCCACTTCTCTGAAGAACCTTTGAGATTGTGATGGGACATAAGGCTTTGCCATTGCA